ATGCAACATTAAATAAATAAAAAAAAAAATCTACGAGAAATGACCCACGTGGTGGCGGTCAACGATGTTAACTGATTAAAAGAAACAAAACCAATTAAAAAAAAAAAAAAAAAATAATAAAAAAAGGAAGTGGAAGTAGTTAATAAAAATGAACGAGTATGAAAACACAAAATAATAGAAATGAAATAACACACGATTTGAATCGATTTAAAGGAAATCACAATGACGCCGACGTAACATTTAATATTCGACTCTTGTTATTGCAAAGTAATAAAACATAACTAATAATTGTTACAAAACCATAATTCGATATCATTGACTATGGCCATAATAATAACACATAAAATACATACATACATACAATACACGTGTAGTATGTTATATCGTTTTGTGATATGTCACAGAATAAGATTTATATATACTTTACTAATACTAATATACTTTATACAGGATGCAACCAAGGACCTTGTATAATAATAAAAAAAAAAAAAGAAAAAAATCAGACTCTAATGTTAAATATAAAAGTATACAGTAAATGCACGTAACAATAATACCACATATGTCACAAGGAGTTTCATTTTCATTTTAATTTGAATTTAAATGTGAATTTTTCTTCTTCTTCTTCTTCTTCTTCTTCTTCTTCTTTATTGAGAGAAAAAAAGAAAAAAAAAACACAGAGGTAACATTGAAAATGAAAACTAACTATAGTCTTGGACTTTAATCAGTATAAGAAAAGGATAATATGAAATTAACTTATGGCTATAACCACTTAAACGCCCACAACATCCCGTTTGCGATTAGGGGATTATAAATACGCTTACGATTCCATACTAGACTTGTATTTCACTTTGGCACGTGTATTCATAAACAACTATTTTATTCGACAAAATTCCAACAATATATTCTTTTTTTTTTCAACGACGAAACATATTTAACAAATAAAAATTAAATTTAATTTGTGATTTATATATATATAATATATAATATATAATATTGTTTAAATTAGTATCATAATTATTATTGTGTAATTAAAATGGAAGGGAAATTAATGTTCGTCATGTTTTTCACCCTACTCTCTATGAAGATCGTTAACGCAGGGGTAAGTTGCATGCATGCATGCTGCTGCATTCCTGTTATATTTTTTCTTTTTTTCTTTTTTTTTTCTAATCAGTGTGATATTCGTGAAATTTCTTTAGTGCATATAGAACGTCAAAATATTTATAAACAGGTATAATGTGTATAAAAAAGGGACGTCTATTTTTTGACGGTAAATTTTGAAAGGGGTCAAAATTTAAATTAAAAAAAAAAAAAAATAAAAAAAAAAGATTTTATTCAAATTATTGTTGCTACGATAAATCGTTAATGACATTTTTATAGTTCACTATTACAATTGGAATATAAGATATGAAAAAAAAAAAGAAAAAAAAAGGAAGTTTCATCAAAAAAGATTTTATTTGTAAATTGCTAAATGGTTTTTGACAAAATTGTCAAATATTTGTAATTTAAAAAAAAAAAAAAATCAAATCACTTGGAAACTTTTGCCTAAAAAAAAAAAGAAGAACTTTTAATTGATTTAGTATGTGTGTGTGTGTGTGTCTCTGTGTATGTAACTTTAAATATATAAAATGAATGTATTTATTACGTGTAGGCGTGACACGATTTCTTGGCATCGTTCATTCTATCTCTATCTATCTTTCTTATCGTAAAAATCGATTTTTCTAAGTCATTGACACCTAGGAAAGATCTTGCAAATTCTTTCCTTTTTTTTTTGTTTATTTTATATTTTTTATTATTGTTTCATTTCATCCCCTTGTTTTTTCTTTTATTCATACATTTTTCCCGTTGTTTCTTCTTACTTCAGATTATTTCTTTTCTTTTTATTCTTTTTGTATTTACAATAAAATTATTTGTTATCTATTGCCATAATTTGATTACACGCACACACGCACGTGTATATTAAAAGTTAATTAAATTGAAGATAAATTGTTCTCACGTTTGATTCAAAATACTCCATCTTTTCGATGGGAGAGAGATTGCACACCATTTGTAATATTTGTAAATTGTTTTTCCTTTTTTKTTGTTGTTGTTGTAATGGTTTTTTTATTCTCATGGAAATTTTATTCGTGTTACGTTACTGATGGTCGAATACTTACAAAATCGATATTACCACCGCGACAGATAAGATATCAAAACGTTCTTTTCCTTTTTTTTTTTTTCTATTTTTCTATTCACAAAATTATTCGTCATTCTTTTAATTAAAAAAAAAAAAACAAAATTTCAAAAAGAAATAATCCAAATAATTTCTATAAACTGATGCAATTGTCTCGTTTCTTTAATAATACGAAATAAAACGAATAGAAAAATTTCAAAACGTATCAACAATATATTGTAAATAATTAATAACAAAATAATTGTTATAGAAAAAAAAAACAACTTTCTATATTTCAATAACATCATTTAATTCGAATAAATTTTTGAATTTAATTAGCCACCAGATTGGGTACCACCAGAAATGATAGAAATGGTTGCCGGTGATAAAGCTCGTTGCATGGAAGAACATGGAACTTCTCAAGGTAAATAATAAATCATATTATTTCAATAATTCAAATAATTCAAATAAAATAAATGAAGTTTCTATTCTCGTAATAAAAATATTACAAAATTGTATATATTACATATTAACCCATTAACTACCACGATCCATCCTCATTTGGGGATTTTGGAATTTTACGTACACCACTCGGTTTTATGTGAACTTTATGAAAAAATGGCATAATAATGGCTATTTTTATATGTATAGGATAATAATAATAAAAGAAATAAGAGTAATAGTCTCTTATTAATTTTTTTTTTTCGTGCAACCAACCACAATTCCCCATTTAATCCTTAAAGTGTACACTGGGTGGTAAAAGTTAGTTAAAGTGCACCACTGTGGGTGTTTGACACCCCAACGTGTTTGAAACGTGTCACCTGAAGCCGCTATTTAATATTTAGACACTAAGCAATTTGTTTTAAAAGTAGTTTGATACATCTTGTTTTTAAAAATATCATTAAATTTTATATCCATCTGAATGAACACTAGATGACACTAAACAAATAACCCATTGTTTCTCAGTACCATTTTCGAGAGATGAACAATTTCTTGGGGTGTCAAACACCCCATGTGCACTTTAAAGGATTTAAGACTTAAAAAAAAAATAATATAAATATTTGTGAAATCCAAAATAATTTGCCAGTTAATGGGGTTAATATAATATATAAAAAGAAAATAAAGTGTATGTACATAGATTTTTATTTTACAATGTAATAAGAAATAAACAAAAAAAAACAGATAGAGTAAATAAAAAAAATTAAATGACGAATAAGACAAATTATTTATTTATTAATTATTCAATATGTTTCTCTTCTTTTTTTTTTTTTTGGATTTAATGTTGGACAGCTCTAATCGATCAAGTAAATGATGGAAATCTGGTGAATGATCGATCACTATCCTGCTACATGTACTGCATGTTGGAAGCTTTCAGTCTGGTAAATCTAATCATCCGATCTTATCATTTCTTTTTTTATTTTTCTTCTTCTTCTTCTTCTACTTCTTCTTCTTACTATTCACATTATTTCCTAGATTTTTTCCTATACTTTTTTTTTTATACACACATATATATATATATATATATATATAATATTATGTATGTATGTATCTTTTTATTAATAGGTGGATGAGGAAGGTAATTTAGAATCAGAAATGTTGTTGGGTTTCATACCAGATAATTTTAAAGAAATGGGTGCTGATATTCTCAATGCTTGTGCAAGACAGGGTAAATTATTTTCTATATGTATTCAATTAATTAATTTTTATTTTTTTTTTTAATTATAATTATTAATATATAAATTTGCAAATTTTTCTATCCAAGATGGTGCGGATGGTTGCGAAAGAGTATTTAACGTTGCAAAATGCGTTCAACAAAAAGTTCCTGAGGTAAGACCAATTTTTTTTCCTTCTTTGTTTATATTTCATTAATATTTTTTTTTTTTTTATTATATTTTATTAACTAACAAAATTAATTTTCTACGTCATACCACACGTTTATCATCAATTACCAAAAACAAAAAAAAAACTTCGTTCAAGTTCATTACATTAAAAACAAAACAAACAAAAACTATTTCAAATTGTTCCAATAAGAAAAAATAATGTTTTTCCTTTTTGCAGTTATGGTTCATGGTTTAAAAAAAAAAAAAAAAAACAAAACGAAGAACACTACAAATTTGGGTCAAAGGGGGAGGAGGAGCAGGGGAAAAACCTTGTAAAAGCACTTACGATTATTAGAAATATTGTTATCTATGTGTGTTTCTTTTTTTTTTTTTGGTTTTTTTGTTTGTCTATTTGCGTTTCTATTCCTTTTTTCTTTTTTCTTTTTGTTTCCAATAAAATTTGGAAAGAAAAATATGAAAAAAAAAAAAAAACTCTAAGGTTCCTTCGATATAATTTCTTATTTAGAATAATTATTACGTATGTATACATGATCAATAATGTTATTATAGTAAAAATACAAAAAGACGTGAGAAAAATGTAATAAAATATAATAAAAAAAAAAAAAAAAAAAAAAATAAAGTTAATTATCTTATTCTGAAGAAGATTTATTTATTCTTTTTTTTAAATGATTTGACGAATTTTGTCTACGTAATTTTTCAATCTACGATTGCAATCTTGCAATGCTGCAAAAAGAAAAAAAAAAAATTGGTCGTATTTTTTTTCCACCTTGGGGAAAAAAACATTTTACGCTATCCTAACAACCTCCATAATTTCTATTTTCTTATTAAAATAGATTTTTTATTAATCCTGTTTGTTTCTTATTTTTTTTCTTTTTTTAAATTAATTTGTTATCTTCGTTATTCAAAAAAAAAAGAAAAAAAACGAGTTATTTACGAGTTTATTTATTTCTAATGTTTTTTTTTCCTTTTTTTAATTTATTAGATGTGCGTATTTGTCGAGTATATACAATAAGTAGAAATTATTCTTGAGAAAACAAACGATTACGTGGTTATGTCTTCGAATCCTGGTAAAATTCCATTGACTTTAATAAGACAAGAAAATACGTGGTGTAATCCTACTATCCATTAAAATATCAATTAAGTTTAGATGATATACTATATCCATTACATAATTCTACAATTTTCTATAAAACACAACTATTACTACTTCGTATATATAATCTTTTAAATATAACTTCCTTTTTTGATTTTTATTGATTTAAATTTTTTCTTTGTAATTTATTCGCGAAAAGTGATACACATACACACACACAGTTTTATATTGAATTACTTAATAAATGATTCATTTGAGATCTATAGATCAGGAAGAGAGAGAGAAAAAAAAAATTATTTTAATCAAAGGAAATGTACAACAAAATTACACAATCTCACGTAAGAAGATTATGAAAGCTGTGAAACAAGAAAAAAAAAAAAAGAAAACAAAAAGAAGAAACTTCGTAAGTTTAAAAAGCATTTGAATTTTACAATTTTTTTATTATCATTTCTTTATTTAACTTTACGTGATTTTGTTTTTAGATTGACGAATTTTATTAATTCAAATCTAATTAATAATTAAGAAATCTAACAAGTAATAATTTATATTCAACTACGATTACAAATTTATCTAATAAAATTAGCTACAAATGCTAAATGTGATGATAAATGTGTTGGATGATAATTTGCCATGCTGTTTTTAATCTGCGTGCAACCATTAACAACAACAACAACAACGAAATTATTTAAAAAAAAAAAAAAAAAGAAATTGCTAAACGACAAAATGTTTTATTGGAAGAAAAATCAAACAATAGCGATATATATATATAAAAAGAAATGAAGAATTATCAACCCACTAAAATGAATTAATAAAAAATCATCATGGGATATCTACGAATCCAACAATAATAAAAAAACAAACAAAAGGAACAACCCAAGGAACAAAGTTTGAGAAAATTAGATAAAATAAAATACAACATAAGCAACAATGTGAAATCTATTTGTCAACGTTTTTTAAACAACTAAATAAATAAATAAATAAATAAATAAAAGAAAATACTAAAAACAAAATGCGAAAAGCGTGCTTGGAGATGTAATCCAAAAATCCTTTCTTGTATCTTAAAGAAAGGTGTGAGAATTGAATGAAACAATAACAAAATAATAATTACAAAAATAATAATAATAATAATAATAAAGGGATGACGATGAAGAAAGGAAGGATGATGATCATCCAATACCTTAAGATCGATCGAATGAACGGCACCGGTGTGTTGCGAAGGATGATGATCCTTCGTGTCGTTGGCACAGTTAGCATTGTTGTTAACGTTAGGCAAGGAACCTCCTGCTCGGAATTGATTGCCCAGGTTAATGTGAAGATGTTTGCCACTTGATTGCGGAGGACTCGCACCGGCACTTTTGACGGAGAGCGGGGCATCCGGGACACCAGATCCCGTAGGACTCGCACCCACCGAGCTGCTTGCTGACGCGACCTATGCAAGTCCGTCACTTTGTGACTAAATCGCTTACAAACGAAGCGATATTTTTCCAAGCACGATTGTTCATTGCAAATTATTTATTTCTCGCAATTTACTCTTCAACTCATTTTACAATTATTATTTTTTTCTTTTTTTTTTATATATCTATTTAAATATAATTTTGTTATTAACTTTTGATATGTAACGTTGTTGATCGTTGTTCTTCGATTCCATTCTAAAATATTTCTTATTTTCAAGGTTTTTGGGATTTTTTTTTCTTTTTTGCAAAAGATATTGGTATTAGTATTTTAATATAATTTTCTATATCCCAGCAATTACTTAAAATCTCATTTATCATACTTATTGAATTATTTTGCAAGTAATATCAATCGTGCTTGGAACAGCCAAAGATTTGTTCTACAATTTTGTTGTTGTTGTTGTCTATTATCTACGTACTTGTGAATGAAACCAAAAAAAAAAAAAAAAAGAAAAAGTGTAAAACAAAATGAAATGAAAAGAAAGAGAACAAGAAAGAGATACGAATGATAATTCCGATGATTTTGGATTTTTTTTTTCATTTATCTTTTTTTTTTTCTATTTCTACTTATACATATATCTCTTTCTCTGTCTCTCTTTGTATTTGAAGAAAAAAAAAAAAAAAGAAAAAAAATGATAAGATGTTCGTATAACAACAAAATGAGAATTCTTCGTAGATTGAAAATATACGCGAGAAAGAGAGAGAGAGAGAGAGAGAAAGAGAGAGACTTACGTTGAAGATATAACGTAAACTTTCTTTTCGAAGCATACTTAACTAAAAACAGGTTCTTGTGTCCAGCATTTTTATAATAATCTTAGCCGACTAGATTCCATTCTCCAAGTATACCGAGTATAAAAATCGAATACAATGTTTGCCCGTTTGTTTGCCTGCAAACGCCATAGGAATTTTTGGAACGTTCATTTTTAAATCAGTGAAAGAGAAATTTGTATTTTGTTTGGTTTTTTTTTTATTTTTTATTTATTTTTTTATTTATATGATTCTGATGAAAATGATTATCAAAACGAATGAATAATATTTTTTCAATATCCATTTTATTTCTTTGGAATTTTTTCTACTAAACTTTCAATCTAATGTTGAAATTTATTTTTCTTACAAATATTTTACGAAAAGCACACTATTTTTCTTTATAAGAAAATATGTATGTACATACGTGTACATGTATCTCTCTCTCTGTGTGTGTATATATATATATATATAAATCATTTCTAAAGAAAATTTTACAATTAATTTACTTTCAATCTAATCTCTTTACTATTCAAAAACATATATGTAAAAGTATATTAAAAATACTCTAACGTTTATTATTATATTTTCTCTTTATCTTTTTTACTTTCAAACGCATAACACAAGGTTCTTTTTTTTTTTTTTTTAATTAAAACAAGACCAAAAAAAAAATCATGGCCGACGAATAATAATGAATGTCGAGGAAGATCAACATAAGTTAGAGAACTTGAAACTTGAATCTTATTCTCAAATTAGATTGACCTTGTTAAAAAGCCAACGTTCATTTAGTTATACGCGTACTAAAGTAAATGAACATTCATTTTGTCATAAATTAAAAAATGTAATCAAATAAACTAATTTCAACTTTATCTATTACACTCCTATCCAATAAATAAATAAATAAATAAAATAAAATTTAATAAAAAAAAAATAATAATAATAATGAAACAATTTTCACCAATAAAAGTGAGTGATCATTTTTCCATAAACAACGTTTTCAAGAAAATTACTAATTTATAAAATCAGGATAAGATACTAGAAGCATAGTTATTGGTTGAATCATACCCTGAACGAAAGTAGGTCACTGACCCTTGCCTAGTAAAACTGCTAAATAAGTAAAAGCATGGTTATAAACTAGTCTAACTTGTTTTGCAATTAAATGATTCATATTAGAAAGATAAATATATATACTCATACACACAAAAACATATATATGTATGTATGTTATATTATAATTTGTATATTATAAACGTATGTATGTACACGCATATACACTACATATATATAAACACTCTCAAATATTATATGTGTTATTTTATATATATATATAATACACATTAATATTAATTATACATAATATATACTATATTTATACAATTTGTATATATAAAATAACATACATAAATATAATAGAAATTTAGAGAAAAAAGAAAAACGAAAGATTATCTTCTCTCTTCTAATTAATTATAGGCTTTAAATATATATTATATTATATAAAGGTATATACATATATAAGGTACATTAATCAATTTTCCAGAATATTAATTTGCCTATCCGGACGAACGAATCAAAGAGAGAACAAGTTATTCAAGCATCAACAAACTTTTACTAAAATTTCCTTATGTGAAAGAGACATTAAACTTAATTACCCTTTAATATAGTAACAACCCTTAAATTATACTAATCGTCAATAATTTGATATCTTTTTCTAAACTCGTACTACTTCTTAAATAAATTAATGTGAGATTTTGAATAATACTAATTGAAAATTCTTGCTTGCTGTGTTCAAAGAAAATGTTCGAAATAGAAAAAGAAGACATTAACTTTAAACGATTGAATAGAAAGAACCTAATTATTAGTATCTTTTGTTTTAACACATATGTCTTTTTTATGTTACATTCATAAATATTCTAATCTCGTTTATCCCATTAAATAAACTATGTTTATTTGACAAAATAAATCCTAAGAAAATTCGAATTTTAATATTTAACATTTGATGATACATCAATCTGATCGATCTAAGACACCCTTAAAAGATAATAAATCTTAAATAAGTTTTTAATCAATCAAGAAAAACAATAAGAAACTAAAAATCATAGATAAATAAATCGATCAAATCTATCGCAATCATCATCAATAAAACAAAATCAACATTTTCAAAATTAAAAAAAAAGAAAAGAAGTAGAAAATCATTATCGATATATCAAACACTATCGATATGTAAATCAATCGATCTATCAATGAAAACAAAGTTGCAGTTTTAAAGTGAAAAAGAAAGGTAGAAAATGTAACTATGATCAAACTTGCTTGCCACTAATTGTGGCAATGACAACAACAACAACAAAATTAAACATATTTTCATGTATGAAACATTAAAAAAAAAAAAAAAGATGGAAGAATCGAATATTCTTTTAAAAATAATTAAACACACGGGCAGCTGTCTTAAACAACGACGTAATATCGCCATCACTTACTACGACGCACATGAACACAAACAGAAAGAGAGAGAGAGAGAGACTAGTAGCTAACACGATACACTAACACACACGTTATTAAAATACTAATATATATATATATACGGAAGGAGGAACACACGAATATATATATATATATACACTAATATAAACGAATGAAAACACAACGACGACGCCAAAACGCTTTTGCTTCTCTCCACGCGACGAACTTATCGTTATCTCTCTCTCTCACTCTTTCTCTCTCTCTCTTTCTGTTTTTTACTCCTTCCTATTTTATTCACTCTCTCGCTCACTCCCATTCTTCCTCCCACTTCACCCTATTATTTCCTTCTCTCTTTCTGTTATTGTAACCCTAGCAAAGTAAACCAGCCAAGAAGATGAAGAAGAGGAGACCTAAAACCCTTCCCACCCCCTCCATCCCCACGAACAAAATAAAAAAGAAAAACAAATATACATATACACGGTGTCTCTTATTTCACGTTTCGTATCTCGTCGTAACGTAACAAGGATATATCGTCATTTTTAATAGAAAAAAAAAAAATAAATAAAAAGAGAGGAAACGGTAAAACGTTTTTTGTAAACACAAGCTTAGATGAGAAAAAAAAAGATACGTCAAATATAACATTGTTTAAATTAATTACATATTTAAATATTATTTATCATAATTTCCTAATGAAGTGTAGAGATTTTAATTTTTAATGTATTCTAATCAAATTATAAATAACTAAAATAAATAAAAATGCATACACACACATATATATTTATATATGTATATGTATATTTATATGTATATTTATATGTATGCATGAAAATGTATAAACAAGAGTGAAGTGATGTTGCACATTGTGCGCATAAACGAACGTACTCCTTAAGTAAATGCAAAAGAAAGAAAAAAAGAAAAGGAAAGGAAAAAAAAGAAAGAAAGAAAAGGAAAGAAAAGAAAGAGAGAGAGAGAGAAAAAGAGAGAGAAAGAACGTAAACAAGAAGCTTCTCTCTCACTTACTCTTCAACTCTCTCTCTCTCTCTCTTTCTTTCAATCTCTTCCCCTCTCTCTTACTCTACTCATTCTCTCACTTGCTTTATCTACCTCTCTCTCTCTTTCTCTTTCTCTTAAAAATGTTTTCAATAAGTTAGACAGAGAAAAACATATAAATAGGGAGGGATAAAAACATTGAAGTAAGAAAGAAATATAAATGAAAGAAAAAGATGGAACATGAAAGAAAGAGGGAGAGAGAGAGAGAGATAGATATGCAGTAGATAGAGATAGATGAGTGAGAGAATGAAAGAGATTGTCCCTTAAGATAAGGACCTACTGTGATTTCCTTACTCTGCTCGTAACGTCCGATACTTCTCGCATGATTGCTTCAAAAGCTGCCGTCTCCTGCGCCTCCTTCTGGTTGAGCAAGGCAATCTTTTCACTGAATTTCCGTGGATTCGCCATGATGGCTCCTCTCTCACTCTTTGTGGCCGCCACTGGACTTTTCCAATTCAACTACACATACACTTAAAAACTTCCTAATAGACGACCAACGCACACTAACGAATAGAGAGAGAGAAAGAGAAAGAGAAAGAAAGAGACACATACACACACATACACCAAACACTTATTCAACTATACAATCCAAGGTAGTGTAGTAGTAGTGGTGAACGCGAGAACGACGTGCGCGTTTCCTCTGCGCGTTTTTTCCCTTTCTATCCCTAATCCCTACCCTTCGATATCTACCCTAACCCCCAATTTCCCTCCCAACTGATACTTTATGCCTTTCTTTCTTTCCTTCTTTCTCTCCCTCTCTCTCTCTCTCCCGCTCTATCACTCACTTTTCATCGACACACGATTAGAACCACTAACTTTGTTTTTTTTTTTATGTATATATATGTGTGTGTATATTTACTTATTACATGCATATACATGCATAACATGCAACAACACACATTCACTCAATCACTCACTCACACTCATTTATTTGCTCTAACTTGCTCACTTACTCTCTCACGCGGGTAATTCACGCGAATTCATGCACGCACACACGTTATCGTCGTAGAATAATATGCGGTACACTAAATACAATGAACGAGTTCGTTAGCTCGTTTTCTTTCTCTTTCTTTTTCTCTCGTAATCGTTCGTTTATTCGCTTGCTCACTTGCTTGTATTCTTTCTTACTTGTTTGCTACTTGCTTACTAAGTTGTTCGGTTAGGTTCGACTAGACTCGGTTACACTCGACTCGACTCAACACTCCGATTATTTAGATACTACCACTACTATTCGTTTGTAGTTCGTTTCTCGTTCGTTCACTTTTCTAATACTTTCAACGATTCTAACTGACTGACTGAAATTGATTCACTAACTGACCACTGACCACTGACCACTGTCTATCTGTCGGTCTGTCTGTTGAAAAAACTTACTGACTGACTTACTAACTATCTGACTTCTCGACACCACTGACGACGGACTACTACTAGATTATGCGGCACTGCGCGCCACACGTTATGCGCAGCAACAACCATTTCGCGGGCTCATTGGTCGAATATCTTTTCATCGACAGCGCCCTCTGCATTTTTTAACTTCTTACTATTGAATTTTAATATTTATTTACTTATTTTTATACATGCGTTCTTTTCATTATTATCAATTAATTCTGTCGATAAAAATTCATTTATACATTTTTTTATTTATACATGCACGAGAAATATTTTATTCATTTATTTGAAAATCATTATTTATTTTTTAAAGAGACGATGTCTCTTTTCTTTTTTACCCAATGAAGAATGTTAATATATATATATATATATAATAAGTAGATTTTGGAAAATTCGTTTCTCGATTTCTGATTGGTTGAAATGTCACAATTTCTAAATTACTTTGTCGTTTAATTTATTTCTTAAAATAACAAAAAATTGTATTTTAATGCTTTATTTTCCTATATGATTAATATAAGTGTGCGTTTAGATGGTTTTTTAACTACGTGAATTGTTCCTGTTTCTCGGTTCTGATTGGTCGATATATTTTATTCCTTCTACTGAATGATACGAAATATGTCAGTTACTTTTAAATTACATATCAATACAGAATATTATACAAAATTGATGAAAGGATTAATATTTGTTGATTTATGTAATTTTTTAAAGAATATTATTTAATTAATTGTTATAATACATTTTTATTTCTATCAAAATTGAATTAACTTTAATTAAATATTATTTTATAAAATAAATATGTATAGTATAAAGTAAATAGAAAAAGAAAGTAACTCGTTTTACTTTACATATTTTCATTCTACAATTTTTTAATAATTATATCTTTTTTGTTCTTTTTAATATTTTCTGTAATATTTTTTGTTTTTTTTTTCTTATTCTTTTTATATTTCAAATCATACATATTGTTTTCTATTTCTTTCATTTATAATTTTTAAGAATAGCCAATTGCTATTGCAATAGCAATACTTCACTGTGATTAATGTGTTTAATTATCCAATGACTTTCTAGATCGTCACAATAATCTCTTGAAAATACGTAATTACAAACGAACGTTTTTTGCTTTTTTAAAATTAAAAGTCTTTCCAATCTATCCTTTACTTTCTGGTCGAAAAATTCATGTACATTGAAGCCTGGTATGTAATGTCCTACCAATGTTAATTCTACCCTTTTCTTTTCTATAAAAAAAATTGATAAACATCATAATCAAAAGACCTTTTAAAGGAAATTTCAAAATTAAATTCGTTTTCATATAATGTCAATGAAATTACCTTCGGTGTTATATATGCGTCTAAACTTTAAATCATATGCCATGAAAAGTGTAATATTCTCTTCATTCATAGCAATAAGCTTTCTTTGTTCATCGCTTAGCGTATCTATTCTTGTTTTTAACAAATTTAATAAATTATTATCTACCAGATTGTACAATGAATCATAATCTTGATTTGCCAGTGCTATGGATACTATAGATGCTGCCTAAAATGAATTTCATTCATTAATTCATCATCAATCGCATTACACATATGCCATATACTTCAATTTTAAATAATTAACAATTATAATTCAAATAATTTCTCATCTTATTAATATTTAGATTTATAACATAGACGAGTATAACGACGAGATGTAATATTTAACTTACTTTTTTAGTGTTAGTAAGAAGAATTGGCAACTCAAATTCAGGATCTTTAGTTATGAAACGTACAAATAATTGCATGAATGGTACTTTAAATACTTTAGGAACACTGAACGTAGTGTTTATCGGGCCAGGTATTAGTTGTGGTAATGATACTTGATCACCTTTTTCTTTATTGTTTTCATTGTAATAATTTCTATATATTGTTAAATTTTTTGGTGAGGTTAGAAACGGTAATAATTCTTTTGATTCATATAACATTCTTCCTGATATAACATTGTTGCATGTAACGGATGAAGAGAAATTTCTTACATTTATTCGTTTAACTGCATTTCTTATTATCACTGATAACATTTTTCTATTTATTTTTAATGTTAAATAGTTCATATACGCACACGTATACAACAATGTGTATACAATGTATATAGCACATTTGTATACGCATACATTCAATTTTTTGATTATTCTCTTCTCGTGTTTTTTTATTTCAATTATATAAGACTATTTATTTATTTAAATAATATTTATATCAAAGTTAACAACAATTACTTGTCGAAATATTTCCAATTTATTATTTAAAATTATAATATATATTCAAATTTAGCGCCATTTCCCCTACTATATAATAATTTGATTTTATTTGTTTGATTGATTTAATTATTTATGCTGTCATATATAAATATTCAATGTCAAACAAATTATTATTGTTTGATTGTCCAATTCTAAATTATGTAGTCTAAAATGAATAAAAACATTATTTGTGTTAATGTTGGTAGAACTGTTACGTAAACATAACCTCGCGTGTGGTTGAAGTGTAGTTGAAGTGTGGTTAGAAGAGTTTATTATAGAATAGTGTAAGAAAATATTAAAAAGCAATCATGAGATTAACTAATTATTTATGTAAAAGAGTAGCAGAATGGACGAAGAAATATTCTAATTTACCTGACTCCTACATAGACCGTACCATGCGAACGGTGCGTTAGAATTTATGTATTTATCATTGTATTCCTAACCTAATTTTGACATTTATAATTATTTGTAAAAATAGGTTTTTTGGAGAACTCCTAGAAAAGTTCAATATCTTAAACGTACTCATGAACGTAAACGTTATTGGTTTTCCATTCACAAACCTTGGACGAATAATTTTAAATTAGAAAATTGTAAAATAGAAATGCCTCCAGCTATTCCCGTTGAGCCTATTAAAGATTGGAGTTTTTTCCGTGGCGACAGAGTAATCAAATATTTTGGATTTTTCTATTAATTTTTAAATTTAATATACGATGAGAATAAAATTAGATAGTTCTTTGTCGTAGGTTGAAATATTAGTTGGAAGAGATAAAGGTAAACAAGGTATAGTCAAAGAAATAATACAGGAAAGAAATTGGGTCATTGTCGAAGGTCTTAATACTAAATTAGAATGCGTAGGAAAAAAGAAAAACTTTCCTGGAATATTTATGACAATGGAACAACCATTATTAGTTACTACAGATATTGCATTGGTTGATCCTCATGATTTGTATGTATATTGAAAAATGAACATGCTATTAGTTTCTATTTTCTTACATTATTATTCATTTGACATATTGTTTAGAAATGGAACCAAGATAGAATGGAGATATACAGAAAAGGGTGAGAAAGTACGTGTATCTGTTAGAACCGGTAGAATTATTCCAATTCCTGAATCTGCACTAGAAACTATAGATTATAAGACTCCTCATCTTTACCATGAACAAAGTAAAGATACGACTAAAGAGAACGTAGAAACAGTAACATTCAAAGTAAGCATTGTTATATATACAATCATTTGAATAGTAGAAAAAAATATCTAATAGAATTATATTATTTAATATATTTTTCTTGTATGTATACTTTTAGCCAGCATTAAAAACTTTTGAAATGGAAATAATGGAAAAAATGGGTATTCAAGAAGATCGTGTACCTAAAAAATCATATTGGTATTAGAGTATATTGTAAGTAGATGATATATGTATTAATACATTTATTACATAAACAAATGATCTATTTGTTCATATATTACTTGAGATAATTTTTATCAAAATATATAATGATCTATTTATTTATGACACGCTATGTTATTTCTTTTTATTTTTTTATTTCTTTTTCTCCATTTATATTAAAAAATACACTGAGCGCGATGGCTTTTGTTTATAAGCTGCTGTATTTAGATATGTATGTAGAAATTATTTAACAAATGTATTGTAATTAATATTATTAGAATTAGATAATAATCAACTTTATATATATAACGTTGACTGTGTGTAAATTGTACATTATATTATATTTGATATCTCATTGATGCAAAAAGATAATAATAGTTTTATATCATACTTTTCTTTTCTTTTCTTTTTTTTTTTCATTTCATATTTTTTGTTTGCTAATTTATCTTATTTAAATAATGTCATGCATACATATCACAGTACAATTTTTTACAAACACACACAGAATACCAAAGAAAATACTAATTGCAAATTTAATTAAAAATAATTTCAATCCAATATTAAATAAACACTTAAACATTAATAATCACTTTTCTTTTAAATATTGCTTCAATTTATTTTTCTCTACTTTTTTATTTATTTATAAATTCATTTTTTCTCTTTGACATCAGCAAAGATTAAGAAAAGTGATATTCCTTTTTCTTTTTCCTTTTTTTTTTTTTAAGATTTTTTTTCCTTTTTGTTTATACAAGCAAATCAATAGCAATAAAAATTTCAATAATATATAATTTGTATGAATACATTTCTTTTTAATATTAAACAAAAGAAACGGAGAAAATTATTTTCTGTATTCGTAAGAAGCAACGTAACATGACAAACCATAATAATAATAATAATAATAATTTTAGATTAACAAAAATATTATAACATATTTTATTAATAATAATAATAATAATAATAATGCAAATTCGTGATGCATTGCGTTATATATTTATATATATACTCATTGGAAACTATTAAGCTGTTTTTTAATTTCTTGTATATTCATATATAAAGTGATTGTCATTTAAAATCGTACATCGTTTCGATTACTAGATTTTTCTTTATAAATTATTAATCAATTTTCATACATATACAAGTATACATAAGTATTTAATGTTTAAACAATTAAAAAAATAATTATTCAATTGATACTAATACTAGTAATAATCATTTGAATAGTGAGAACAACGATAGCCAATAGTTGAAAGATCGATTCGAGTTCGATTGTACAAAATCGATTATTCCTCTCGTTCCTATAGTTATACCAACATGGCGATTCTTTATGACAGGTGTGTGCGATTTCATGTGTAATTGCATTTGTTATAATTAATATTTTCAAGTTAAATTTATTTAATATGTAATAAAAATATGTTTAGTGTATTATAATAGTTGTCAAATAAATCTAATAAGAATGTGTTAGTGTACGATTTTAAGTGACATCAACTGCATATTCTGGTAAGCCTCTAAGGAAAATGAAAAAGGTTAGGAGATAAAAGTTGAAGATGAAAAACGAATAAAACTATTACGAAATGAATGCAGTATTATTAAGGTAAATATGACTTAATTAGCGAGGATTTTAGGATTTCAACTATACGAACTATTTAACGTCGATAGTATTATTGCACTATTTCAGCACTTTATATTTTAAGGTTATGCTTCTAAAAGGTTGATGTGTAATAAATGCATTCAATTAATCTCTTTCTAAGGCACTATTTCTATTTTTCTCATTATCTTTTCTTTCTTGATTATTATTTTAACGAATATTATACTTGTGACGTACATGGCATAACCTTAAAAATGAAAATAATAGATAATAAATATATATATATGTATATGTGTATAGAAATTATATCTTTTCTTTTTCTTTTCATTTTCATTTTCATTTCCATTATGTCCATCAATTTTGTGATCTGAAAAATTGATAATTCCTTGATAATTGAATTCAACGATGCATAAACAAGAGAAGTCCATTTATAATTTACTACAATTCACGAGGACTTGGTGGCAGGGTGCCTGACTAGGAGGTTCACTTCACCGTCGTGTAATTTTTTCATTAGAGACCAAGCTTCTATCCTCGACATTCTTGTAACATCACTACCGTTTACTTCCAGTAATTGGTCTCCTGCCTTCAATGCACCTGTTTTTTCAGCAGCACCTCCTAACATTGTAAGAAATAGTTTTATTAAGATTAGAGTTAGTTTTATATTAGAATAAGTTTAAAAAATATGAAAGTTTACTCACCAGTAAATATTTTCTTTATTACCAATGGTTTGTCTCCGAGTGGACTATCACGTCCTCCTTCTAAACTGAATCCGAGACCAGCTCCGTCTTTGTAAACTGCGACCATTGATGGTGGACCCCAGGCGGTATCTTCCACAGCATTCATTTCGAATCCTAAGGAGAGATTAATATATATCCTTTTAGGTAAAGTTAAAAATAATTTTAAAGTATTATATTGTTCATTGTATTAATGTTTTAAATTAATCAAATGTACCTTCAACAATGGTTTCGACACTAGCAGTCCTTGATCTCAATTTACATCCTTCTTCGATTCTTGGTCTGGATACAACGAGTACAACTTCTGATCTTGGTTGTTTTAATACAGTTAAGCTTTCTCTATGTGTAAGACCACGTGCACTTCTACCATTAATACTAAGTATTCTGTCTCCTCTTTGAACACGACCATCTTTGTCAGCAATAGAATGAGCTAATACACGATGAACAGTTATTTCTTTAACTTCACAATCAGCTCCACCTGCCAATGTTATTCCTACGCTTCCTGTAGGATTTTCTTTGTGAAGTAAGACTACTATGACTTCGTGAGCACAACGAGCTTCTTCCAAGCTAGCCTCTTCTACAAGCTGAGCTAATTCTTGTTGTGAAATCAAGCTAGTACTGCTTGCCAATGAACTGATACTACCAAATTGTTCGTTACAAAATCTTTCATTGTCTGTTTCATTTCCAATCGATGATATATTTTCATCTACGCTACTGTCCAAACTTGGGAATCGATTGTGAGATGTAGTTGGCATTACTTGTTGATTTTGACCATTAGTTGTAGCATCGATTTTATCTAAAGCTTTTTTCATATCGGTTACACTGACACTACGTCTACCTAAATTCCTAGCTGTTGGAATCTTGGACGTATTATTTTTTGATTTTTCTGTTATTTCTGTTTCATCATTGTTATCTAAGTTTCTTGATCTACCTAACGTCGGTATTTTGGAGACAAATGGTTTATCCTCTCTCCAAGAATCATTAGAATTCGTTGGTGACTTTTTGATAAAACGATTATTATTGTCTCTGGATTCTGGACTAGGTCTATACGAAGACAAACCACTTCCATTTTCCGTTCTATCTTCGCTACTTTGTGTTCGTAATAATTTAGGACATGGACTTTCTACCTTGGCACTTAGTATATCTTCTAAACTCATTTGACTCTTAGATCTACCAAAACTACCATCATCAACGTGTATCGCAGATCTCGATCTACTTCTCGTTGTTAAAATAGTCAAAAGATCATTTTGATCTTCTTGTGTCTTTTTTATTGGAGTACTGACCTTGCATCTTTGTTTCATAGTTTCTTGCGAAATCTGTTCAGTTTCCTTTTGAACAGATCTTTTCTTCAAACCTAAATCATTGGAATTGTATTGTTCGTTAGTATTACGTGACGTAGTTTGATTTTTCAAAGCTACTGAATTTCCTTTTTCTATCGTATTGACTAACTTTTCTTCCGAAGATCTAGCCAAAGCTTTTGCTTCTGCTCTAACCCACATTTTTAAGTCATTCGAAGGTTCCAACATTTCTGATTTAGGTGGTCTAACAGCTGGTGTAATGATAGTTCTTTTAGGAGGTAATTTAGGCTCTTCAATTTTCCTTTGTAACTGATCATCTTCTTCTAAGAAGGAATCAGTAACTTCTATGTAAGCTATTTTGATATCCTGTTTAGGAACACCATTATTAACGTTATTTTTTCTTCTAATAGTTCCACCATTTTCAGCATGATTCTCCTCTTCGTCAGAGAATTTTCTTTGGATTAGTGGAGAACCGTTTAAATCTCTACCACTTCTACATCTTGCACTAGCCAAGATATTTTTCCTGTTGATGGCTTCAACGCTCTGAGGCTTCAGTACTCTTCTCGATAATGACTCTGCACTAGCTTGGGAACCCGATGTCAAGGTCGACGATGTACTGCAATTCGTTTCAGTACTGTTAGATCTTCTCAACGTTTGCCTTTGTGGAATTTGTGAATTCCTAGTTGTATCTACTGGCTGAGGTGAATGTGGATTAGAACTGCTGGTACTACTGCTCGACGAAGATGATCTTTCTGATGAAACGTATGTTCTTTCGTTATTAAGAATATTAGGTCTGGCATGAAATTGTTCAGTATTAATTATTGATTCGTTGTCAGACTTAACAAAAGTTTTATTCGAGGTGTCTATGATAAAAGATCGACGTTGATAGTTTAATTCATTCGACACGTAAGATCTTTCAGAAGAAACGGTTGATCTTTCTGATGGTACAGGTGACATAGGTGGACTGAAACCACGCGATATACTACTCTGAGAACTACTTACTGCAGAGTCATTGTCAGAGTCATCGTAATCGTTACGTGTTTTTCTCTGTGTATTATTAGTTCTTGGTCTACCACGTAAAACATCTGGTGAATTACTCGTAGAAACAAATTCAAAACTGTAATCGCTTCTAGTCGGACTACAAATACTTTCCAAACTTTTCGGTGGTTCCGACAAGGTGTTACTCGTATTACTACTCGTGTTATTATTACCTTGAGTATTTTTTGTCATATACGTAGAAGAATTTATTGTATTACTGGAGGAACCATAAACCGTAAGACTCTTTCTTTTGAAAGCTGGTGAATATTTCGAATTTATTTGAGGTGCTGGCATCTTGAAAGATGTTGCTTTCAAAGGAACACTAGCTGAACTTGTATTACTTGCTATTGAACTTTG